CCGACCCCTGCCTTTTGGTCTATCTTGCCAATTTTTTAAAATATTTTTTTTAACATTCTTGTACCTGCAGGGAAAATGAGGTGCTCAAAGTCCAGCTGAAGAAATATGTAGGAGCTGTCCAGATGCTGAAAAGAGAAGGCCAAACAGCTGAAGGTGAGGGGGAGACCAGCCCAGATGGGGAGGGTGCCAGGGCTCGGTGCCTTCATCAGCCCCGTGCCTGGCATATAGCAGACACTCAACATGCGACAAGTGCACATGCAGATGAATTAGAAAAGCAGGATTCTGGAGGATTAATTAGATGGAAAACCCTGCTGTGCAGTCTTGCTAAACTAATATTGTAAGACTTACTTGCTAGATTATTCACAACAGTTATATCAATTTGTGTACTTGGGGAATTTTATGTCTGGAGTCTTGAGACACCACTTACAAGGTAGTGAACCTTGCAGCATGATTAAGTTACATGAGGCCAGGCAGGGTGAGCGCAACAGGACGCCAAAGCAGTGGAGAACCCAGGCTCTGGATTTAGGCTGACCAGGTTCCAGCCGCAGCTCTGTTAAGTTTCTTAACCTCTCTCTACCTCTGTTTCTCATCTGTAAAACAGGGTTCATTGACAGCACCTGTCCCATGAGGCAATCCATGGTTGCAGCATAATGCCTACTGGATAGTAAGCACCGAGTAAACTTTAGCCATTACTAATATTATTAATCAGAAATACAAGTAGATAGAAAAATGATCCCTTAACAAGATCTCACAAAATGAGATGATGCTATCTGCTTCCTCTCTTTGCAGTCTGGCGACAGTTTAACTGTCACGAATCCTTACTGAACTGTTTCTCAAGTAATCCTGAAGAACAGATATTTAACTTTAGCTCAAGTGGCTTGCAGCCTCCAGGCAACTGACCATTACCAGATTTTCTTAAACAGGAATGAGCTCTTGGAGTTGTGGGCACTTTAACAAAGGGTGGGTGCTCCATCCTCATAGGTCTTGGGAGTCATCCAGACCTGGACTTGATTTTAGGCTCACCCACTATAACTTGATCTCTTGATCTCTTGGAGTTATTTTGCCATCTGTGAGAGAGAACATCACAACAGTACCCTAAGTCGTTGTGGGATTTGCCAGAACAAGGCAAAACTTCCTGTAGGGTAGCTGGCATGCTATAGGTGCTCAGTTTTCTTGTAATAGAGGGATGCAGGATATGGCTTGCATAGCATTATCATAGAGACTTGAATTTTCTTTGAAGCTTTTATATTTTTTATGGTCTCAGTTTGATCAGGTGCAACATATTGAGAATTTTACAAAATAACATGCCTCTCTTCATTCATGGCTGGTCTGTGTCAGTTACCAGTCTGGGGGTTGTCATTGCAGAATTAATCACTAATCATTCCTTACTTGTTTTGAATGAATAGTATTTATCTCTAGCCCTTTCCCCTTTCCAAGCAAGTTCAGGCCTCTTCTCATTTGACTCAGTAACTGTGATAAGTCTTTTCTCTATTTTAAAAAGTTTGTTATTGGAGGCTGAGGAGAGCCTGTATCTGGGGTAGAAATGAACTTGGGTCATTTTCCTCCAAATCCTTGGTTATTTGCATTATAAAGTTCTTAAAGTTGAGTGTGCAGAGGAATGATCTGGGGAGCCTATTAAATATGCCTCTTCTCCAGAGGAGGGGAAAACTCCTTTCCTTAGGACTTCTTTCGGTGGCTCTAGAATGGGGCTCTAGATTTGCACGTCTAGATTTGTGACCCTAATGCTCATCGCCTGTGGAGTACACCACCACCGTCTGAGAAATCTACACGCTACCTATACAGAATTTTGATTGGGTGCAGTAAGAAATTAAACCTAGGAAGAAAAGGAGCACCACCAGGCTTGCTTTTGCCTTAAAAACTTCAACCCTATAAACTATATTTCTGACTAGGAATATTTTTGGGGCCACTCCCTGCAAATGGGTACATGGGACCTACAATGTGCTGAATGGTTTCTCACGACAGCCGACGCCCCCTTTCCTAAGTCCCAGCCTGAATGCTCTGCACCAGAGCTGGGTAGGAGCCTTTTTAGGACAGAATTGAGATGGTCTTTTTTAATTTTAATTTTTTTAAAATTGACTGTTAGAGAGAGAAGGGAGAGGGAGGGAGAGAGAAACATCGATCAGCTATATCCTGCATGGCCCCTACCTGGGATCAAGCCCACAACCCCGGGCATGTACCTTGAACTGGGATTGAACCTGCAAGCTTTTGGTGCATGGGACTATCCCCAACCAGCTGAGCCACACCTGCCAGGGCAAGTTGAGATGGTCTTTAAATGCATGGGAACAGAGATAATTAAGCATATTTTGCTACCTTGTATAGCAGCAGTCCCTTACTATGTTTCTTACAGTGTAATTTGAGACCATCTGCCCTGTCTGAGTCATCCTTCAGTGGAAGGTGTTTTTTTTCCCAGTGGAAAGTTTTTATAGAATCCGTGGTGTGTGGTGTGTGGTGATGCGCCGATGCCCTGTTCTTGCCTGTGGAAGTCCTGCACTTCACTCCCCTCACTTCACTGATGTTAGTGAGCACCAGCTATGTCTTGGGCACCATGTAGCAGCCTCATTAAAAGCCACTCTTTCAAAAACTGCGTTCCAGCCCTGTAAGAGCTTTTGCCTAATTTTCAAGTGATGCCATATATTACTCAAAGAGAGTGAGACTTGCTCCTCAACCACACTGACTGAGTTTGTTAAAAACCATTGAGTATGTGTCCTGACCAGGTTGTAGTGCCTCGGGGTGTCCAAGCTAGGGTGGGGTGGTTTGGGTGTCTGGAGAGGGCCAGGGAGACGATGGAGAAGGAGGGAGTTTTTTATGATCTATTCCTTGGCTCCTGATGTTAAAGGGATGGACGTAGAGATAGGTACTGGCTTGCAAAGCTCCAGGTGGGAATTCAGAATGCATTTTCCACACTATAAGCCTTTTAGTTTGAGGATATAAAGCTTCTTTTTATCTTTTGGCAACAAATTGTTTATGAAACTATGAACTCATCTGTAGGGAAAAGAGAAAAAAGTCATTTAAATTTAAGTCAAATGCCTTTAGGGTCAAATAGATTGCTGAGAGCTATACTGGGATCCTCACCTTCATTATTACATTGTTGTGAAAAAATACATCCAGGATGAAAACAAAACAAAACTTAAAATGGACCTCCAGAGTAGATTGTTGACAACCTTTAATTTTACAGATATCAAATTTTAAATTCCCACCCTCCCCCTTTTTCAAAAGAGTGGTATAGTTCCTCTAACAAGATCGTGATTTAATCAGCAATATGTGGAGTAGAGTTTTGGGTGACCTCATCAAGTAATTGAAATAATTATTTCTTCCTGAAGAGTGAGGTTTGGTTACTCACCACTCAAGTGCCCTTTTTCCTTGGTAAGGTCAGAAGATTTTTCAAAAGCTACGCCTCCATTTGCATTTTCGGATCCTTCTCATCCTGGAGCTGTGTTGTGCGATCCCTCCAGCCTTAGAGCTGTGGCATGAGGCCCATCATGTCCAGGAGAAACTGGCCTGGCAGTTAAACTTCCATTGTAACTCTTGTTGGACATTTGATTCTTTCTTTTGTTAAAGAACTCGGACAGCCTTTCTCCCCACGAAGGGAGCCAGTGTAGGGCAGTTTCACTTACGGAGAGTGAGTAGGAGATCACTCCCCAAATTCATGTGTTCATCTCAGGCTTATTGCTGAAGTTTGAAATGAGTTGTATGGCAAGTTGGCTTCTTGCCTGGAGAGGCCTTCTGGCAGCTCAGTGAGAGGCCTGGGGAGTAGGTGAACTCCTAGCCTCAGATACCTGACTGGTCATTCTCTTAGGAATGAACTCATGTTAGCTAACTACACAGAGAGTGTAATAAATCAGAAGAGTAATTTATTCATCATTAATGAGAAATAGAGCCATTGGGTAGACCAGAACATCCACGTCTGATGTTCAAGCTATCATCCCTATGTGACGATCACCCTAGAGAGCTGGAGTATCACCTGATGGCTGCTTATTGAGTCAGAGAAGGGGGAATTGGTTGGGTGAGTCACATGTTCAGTTGCTTGACATGTCCATTATTTGGAGAGGGAAGGTCTCCAGGTCTGGCAAGCCCTCACTTGGAGGGACACTGTCAACTTCTGGCTCTTCACATGGCCTTTTCTTACTTTCAGTGTGTGGTTCATCAGAGTTCTGAGGAGTGCTAGTTCCGTTGGAGGTTGGTTGATGCTGAGAATGAGTGCAGCTCTTATGTGCGATGCTTTAATATTTTGTACTTACCTCAAAACCAGTGGTCAGCAAATAACTTTGTTTTAATTTAGAGATTGTAATTAATTATGACTTCTCCATCTCCCCCACAAGTTATCTATGAGACATAGATGTAGGAATCAGACACACAGTAAACAAAATAACATTTTTATTACTGACAGTTGATTGGAAGCTCCAGCTTAACCTGTAGCTGGAATCATATTCCCTAATACTACACTGCCACCCCTCTTATGAGGGACTGTTGCGTCTGCAGAATTACTCTCACCCAGTGGGGACCAAGCAGGGAAAGAGTCCATGGGGGTGTTTCACTTTGTAATATATTGACTCTACCCAACTGAGAATCTCACCAGTCAGGTAGATGGTGGGAAGGGAGGCTGAGGGCATTACTATGGTGGAAGTCTCCTCATAGAAACATGGCCACGGGATGAAGGCCCTTTGCCAAGAGCTATGACACTGCAGATACTGAGATGCCTCCTGAAGGAGATACTAGGATAGCAGGGCCAGGGCAGGAGTGTGGTTCTGTGAGTGGACTCCTCCTCTATTGCATCTGACCCTCTGGAGAAAGTCTGTATCAACAGAAGGAAGGTTTGTCCTACCTGTAGCTGTGTGTCATTCTCCCAGGGCATCACTTCATCCTAGTCCCTGCACATGCCCCCATGAAAACAGTGGTCATGGCCAGAGCATTTAGGAAACACTATGCATCTCCACATTCTTCCTGGATGTCATAATGGACATTAGAGGATGAATGACTTCTGTGATGAAAACATTGAGGACTTCCCTGGGCAACAGACTGGGAGTTCATTTTGATCTTTTTGTAATAGTACCTTCCTCATAGAGTTTGGGGAATATGAAATAGGTAATACATGGAAAGCGCTTAGAAAATGTCTTGTACATAGTAGCCACTGA